CCAGTTCTCCATATACACCTTAACGGATGCTATATGTGTATTTGCTTCCGAAAACTCCTTCGGGAGTTCCCTGTTCCAAATGGAGCAGGTACGTTTTCCCAGTGTTATCCAATCTCACTCAGTAAGGTAGTGCTTTGAAAAATGGTGAGTGGAACTACTTGTCCTGAGCCCCGGCCTACACCAGATAGGGAGCAGGCGGCTCGCACAGGGCACTGGAAGGGGCAGCACCATGGCGCTTTGGTAGGGATCCCAATTCGTCGGTCACCGACGTGACTCGGAGTGACCGACTGAAAGGGAACATCCTGTCGCCACGGTTGCTGTACCACCGCTCAGCAGCCGGGTCGGCTCCAAAGCGAAAATCTGGTTTGCATTGCATCTGCTGCCTTATTATACTCACGCTGTGATCAGCGGCAGCTGGATGCAATAATTGCATGCCAATGTGCGTTGGCTCGTTTAGTTTACACTCGAAGTAGATTGGTCTATCGAAGCGATATCCCAATTCGTCGGTCACCGACGTGATGTCTCCGTTCCCTCCTTCAGGGAACGAGGGTTACCATACGTAACCGAGACGTTTACCCCATAAGCGTACAACGCAATGCTCATTCCCTTATCTTAGAGAACTGAGGTTACGAAAGTAACCAGAGTGATTTGTCTCTTTCAAATAGAAACTCCTGCTGCACTAGAGCGACTGTCACAGAATGAAAAGGGGAACATCACAATCATCACAATATTGTGTTTCAGAAAATTTCCAGGTCTCAGCTGTTATGCATGTTTATCTGAAATTATGAAAGTTGGTTAAAAAGCTTTACACACTTACTTTTATGAACAACAAGAGGGAGAACAATGCTTGTATTTCCTGATTTCCAAGAAATGTCACATAATTTTTGTAAAATGCATAAGGAAAAGGTAATTAAGGCTAAAGCCATCTCTGAAGCAATTAGTAAAATAACTAAAGCAAATTAATAAAATCTAGTTATATTTTACTAAATTGCTTTTAATAAAATGAATAGCAATTTAGTCAAATAATCTACAAATATGCTAATGGCATAGCTGCTAATTGCTAATTATTTTAATTAAATTATATTATTTATTTGACTAAAAACAGTTACAATTAAATTTAAAATGTAACATTTAAATTATTATTAAACTAACTTAAATAATTAAAATAATACATTTAATAATAATATATAATATAATTAATAATACTATATTTTAATTATAAAATCTTATAATTAATTATAATAAAAACCTTAACCAAATAATAATGGTATCTTATAATTTAGGATAATAATAATACTGTATAATTTATTAATAATAAAAAATATTATAATTAATTAACAAACATTTCAAAATGTACAAATTACAGAATATAAAAAAATTATTTTGATATTTCTTTTGACCACATTTTCACTGGAATGTTTTACTATTCATTGGTATTTTTTATAGCCTCCTTTAATGAAGGTCGGTCCTCCCTTATCTGCTTCCTCGTGTCTCCCCTCCCAGGAGACTCTGTGGAAGAAACAGTGGTGCTGTAACACCAAGCCAGCAGAGGGAGCCCTCGCCCGAGTATTGACTGTTAGCACTCCCTCTGCTTTCTCCCTCTGAAAAGCTCTGTTTCACCAGGTGTTTCGAATTTATGGCTTACCCGAAGACATCGTCTCGGATCGAGGGACTCAATTCACTTCTCAGGTGTGGAAATCTTTCTGCCGACAATTGGACATCAATGTGAGTCTGACGTCAGGCTATCACCCTCAGTCAAACGGTCAAGTCGAGAGACTCAATCAGGAGATTGGTAGATATCTGAGAACCTACTGCAGCCGGGAACAGAATCGGTGGGCAGAATTCTTGCCATGGGTGGAATATGCCCAAAACTCTTTAACCCATGTCTCTACAGGACTCACCCCATTCCAATGTGTATTAGGATATCAACCTCCATTGTTCCCGTGGTCGGGCGAACCTTCCTCCGTTCCTGCGGTAGATGACTGGATACGTCGTTGCGAGAGGGTGTGGGATAGCGCTCATGTTCATCTTCAAAGACCTGTACGAGTTCAAGAACTCCAGGCAAACCGAAGATGCCCGAGTATTGACTGTTAGCACTCCCTCTGCTTTCTCTGCAACCACTTCCTGTTTAGTGGCCATATTAACCTGGCCACCACATGACTGCTTTGCGAAGTATTGCCAGTTTATCCTGCCTTACCAAGCGTTTGTATCTCTGCCTTCTTACCACGTGTATGACCTGTTTATCTGTTTGTTTTGACTTCTCTTTTGGATTACCCCTTTTGCCTGTTTGCCTGGTTGGACTGCCTTACTGTGTTTTTGACCTCATTGCCTGTTTTTACAGACCCTGAGTTTGGTTTTGTTGGACTGCTTCAATAAACGTCCGCATATGGATTCTTCCTTGGCTTCCGCCTCACCCTCATTACAGGTGCAGAGGAATGGATTTCCCAGATTTGAGGGACACAGGCTGACACAGCTCCCATGTGCTTCACTCCCCCCACAGAACTTTGATTCGCCAGTGTTATTCTCACGATAGGATCAGTGCCCCTCACACTGCTACTTCTGCCGACCTCACCTCCGTTATCGACACTGAAGAGAAAGGTTATGGCAAGCTTCCCCCTCTGGAAGAGGTGGTCACTGCTCATCTCCGCCCTCCATCAGCCCTAGGATTGAAGGCACATGCAACGCATCCATAAGCCCTGCAGGAACCTGCATCGTGGGCAGGGCCTATTGAATGGCTGGCCAAGCTGGCTCAGCACTGCACACGATGGGGCTGCTCCAAGTTTTCCAAGCCAAACTTCTCTGCTCCATGAATAAGTCCTGCTCTGGATTTGACGCCTTTAAGGATCTGCCCACAGCAACTGATCTGGCTCTGCGCGAAATAAAGGCAACAGCACAGGCAAAATGGAAAGCCTTGGTCAACTTGGTGGTGCTGGAGCTTAACCTTTGGTTTAATTTAACGGAGATCAAGGACGATGACAAGGTCGCCTTCCTCGACTCCCTAGTTTCCTGCATAGGATTATTTGGCCCGGCTATGGATGGATTTGCTGAATGCTTCACAGCGGCACAGAAGTCATCGCAGGCTATGCATCACTTCCTGCCTAAGCGCTCCCGTTTGGCAGATGCTTCAATTCACCAGAAGGCTCCATCCTTTCAGCAGCCTGCTAAGCCCGTGCCATCAATGACACAGCACCTTCAGGTGGCGAAACACTACCTGTTTCCTAAGCACCAGGGACCCTGTCCTCGAGTAATGCTGGTCCCACCGAGGCTTGAATGCCCTCAAAGAAAGCTTGTATACACTCTCCATCCCCCTGCCTAGCTCTGGGTGATGGAAGTTCTGTTGAAATTGGAACTGCCTTTCAGTGCGTGCCCAACAAAATTACCTCTGTGATAGTGGACACACATACTCAAAAGTGCATAGAGTGGGCGACTTGCAAGCACGGTCAATCAGTGCGTCATGCTATGTGCCTAAAGTGCTCTTCACTCCATTCAGAACACAAGTCATTACCCTGCTAGCCGTAAAATTAACTCTATAGAGGAGCATTTTGCTAAATATGCACCATATAACATATTCATTATAATGTTTTTTACTGTTCTTCAATACTTAATTTATGTTTGAATAAATTCGTCAAGTTTTTGCGACAACCACAATTTTAATGTTTATATAAAAAAAAACGAATTGCAGTAGAAATATAATGATGTAATTTAAAGTTAGTATTATAACTTTAATATTACAAAAACTTTAAGCATATTTTAAGTGTTTGTATATAAATCAGCAAATTTCAACCTTTTTTTTTCCTTGAGAAAATTTGCCATGACCAGTACATGATATATATCCAAAATAATCAATATTGATTTGGAATCTAAACGAAATCGAATCGAATCACAAGTTTGTGAAGGATAATCTAATCAAATTGTGAAATTTGTGTCAAAACCCAGCCCTATTATATAGCAGTCGGCTCAACCCCTTTTGGCAGGTTGAAGCGCCATTTACATGAACGTGAACAAATCAGGCTTCAGTATCAGAGTAAACAGGCATTTACCCCATAAGTGTACAACGCAATGCTCATTCCCTTATCTTAGGGAACCGAGGTTACGAAAGTAGCCAGAGCGATTTGTTCTCTTTCAAATAGAAACTCCTGCTGCACTAGAGCGACTGTCACAGAATGAAAGGGGAACATCACAATATTGCGTTTCAGAAAATTTCCATGTTATGCATGTTTATCTGAAATTATGAAAGTTGGTTAAAAAGCTTTACACACTTTTATGAACAACAAGAGGGAGAACAATGCTTGTATTTCCTGATTTCCAAGAAATGTCACATAATTTTTGAAAAATGCATAAGGAAAAGGTAATTAAGGCTAAAGCCATCTCTGAAGCAATTAGTAAAATAACTAAAGTAAATTAATACAATTGTTATATTTTACTAAATTGTTTTTAATAAAATTAATAGCAATTTAGTAAAATAATCTACAAATATGCTAATTGAATAGCTGCTAATTGCTAATTATTTTAATTAAATTCTATTATTTATTTGACTAAAAACAGTTAAAATTAAATTTAAGATGTAACATTTAAATTATTATTAAAATAACTTAAATGATTAAAATAATATATTTAATAATAATATATAATATAATTAATAATACTATATTTTAATTATAAAATCTTATAATTAATTATAATAAAAACCTTAACCAAATAATAATGGTATCTTATAATTTAGGATAATAATAATACTGTATAATTTATTATAATAACATTTTTATAATTAATTAACGAACATTTCAAAATGTACAAATTACAGAATATAAAAAATATATTTTGATATTTCTTTTAACTACACATTTTCACTGGAATGTTTTACTATTCATTGGTATTTTTTATTGTATAACATTATATAAATGCAATATCGCTCTCGCACTCAGTTTAAGCTGGGTTGTGATTTCCTGTGGTATTCAGCTGCTAATATTCAGTACTAAATGTGATTTTGTGTGAGTTACTTGTTCTTCTTTAGTGTAGAGTTCACAGCACTCATCCAGGGTGCAGCTGTGCTCTTGAACGTGGTGTTGTTGTTGAGCACGAACACTTTCCGAGTCCTTCACCACCTCCTCTTGTATGTTACCAAACAGGCTGCACACAGACACACAGTAACACCAGGTCATTGGACCGTCACGCTTGTATTGCTGTCTCGATGTGCTTTAAAACGAAGTGTGGATGGAATGTTCTGTATTTTCACACATACTCAAAAGGAAGTGAAAGATTGCATTACCAGTCTTTGATTCTGTGCTCCCACTCAACAATGAGCTTCACATGCGGCGGCCCACCTGAGCCGCACAGCTTTAGAGCTCTGAGGAGATAAAGACCAAGCCAAAGGGATTGTTAAAAGAGCTTCTCACGCATACACAAATATACATGCAGAAATACACATTTAGAGGTTTCAAAAAATACTCAATACCCAGTACATTCTCAGGAAAAGTTAGAAAGCCACTGCATGACCATGACCACGTATGAATAACATTTGAGTTAAACAGTTCCTTGCAAACGGCTTTGCATAGATGAAGTACAGAGAAGATGGACGTTTAAGGCATAATATACAGTCGTATTACTAATTACACAGCTTTTAACCACATAAATAATGACGAGGACATGAAATGTTATTTGAGAAGAAACTTCTTTTACCTTTACAATTTTACCTGTTTATTATCTTAAATCCATTACAGTGTTCTGACAACAAGACTGTTAATACTGAAGCCCCCCAGTTTCATTTTACAGTAAATACAGTCGATAACTGAGGCACAAAATGTATTTGAATGAAAGCTCCGGTCCCAAATACCTGGATAAACGGTATGTTAATGACAATGTTGCTAATGCAACTCTTGTTACTGGGGAATAACGGAATCACGGAATGTTGATTCCAATCCGAATCGAGTATTCCAGAGTGCCGTGTAATAAGCTACCTTATCAAACACCACTGTTGTGAAATTATTAAGAACAAACCCACCACAGTTACTACAAAATGGTCAAATATGACATTTTACAAAACGTAAGGATAATACTCTCCAATCCTGATCAACCTGTAACTGCAGCACATCTAGAATATGAACAAGAGAATCATGAAGAGAATGTCAGCAGGAAGACGTTAAGATGATTATGAGATTAGTGTCAATATTTGAAGGTTTCGAGGGTTGAGGACATCATTTAACCCTGTGTGCTTTGAAAGGCTCCTCAAGGGCTGTAGAAATTTTATGAGGGTGATAAATGTTGGCGGCCACTCAGAGGTTTCTTTTGATGTTTAGGATAAAAACATTTATCATAAATTCAGTAGCTTCTCTGATGCCTCTACCTGTAAACACAGTATGAATTATTAAGCGTTGCTAACTATGAATAATGAATAAAGTTATATTGAATGTTTGTTTAATTCATAAAAAGTTTAATAAAAATTTTACTGTTTTTTTAGAGTCTGTTTTGTTAGAAAACATCCTCTGAACTGGATTGCTGTTACTGGCACCTCTGAGAAAGATTTATATATAAAATGTATATTCTGTTCTGATCCATGTCTGTATGAACACACACACAGGTTTGGTTTTGTGAAAAGTGGGGATATCCCATAGGCGTAATGGTTTTTATACTGTACAGACCGTATATTCTATTGCCCTACACCAACCCTACCCCTAAACCTACCCCTTACAGGAAACTTTGTGCCATTTCAGATTTTCAATACACTCCATTCTGTGTGATTTATAAGCGTTTTGAAAAGTGGGGACATGGGGTAATGTCCTGAAAAGTTACCTTCTCCTTGTAATACCTATGTCATACCTTTGTCATTATACAAATTGATGTCCTCATTTGTCACACACACACACACACACACACACACAATACCTGTCCACTGCAGGGTGATAAAGTGGCCGTCCGTCTTGTGCATTTAGGTAGCTATAAGCTGCAGATCCCCCAACAACACGAATCTTGAACAACACCCTGAAATTCTGAAATGAAAAACATGGAGATGTTAGTAGAAAAAGGCCAAAGAAGCATAAAACATTGAGCAGTTGCTTTTACAATTACACTAATACTTCAATATTGGCATTGTGATATTGTTAACTAGTTAGAAATATCAAGACAGAAAAGTGATGTGAGATTATATGAGAGGGTGTTTCTTTCAATCATATTTAAAACTGACAACACTAAGCAACAAAATAAATGATAACAGTGATGCTTATATACATATATACATACATACAATTTAAAATACTGTCTTCTATTTGAATATATTTTCAAATATAATTTATTCCTGTAATGCAAAGCTGAATATTTCAGCAGCCATTGCTTAGTCTTCACTGTCACATGATCCTTCAGAAAACATACTTTGGTGCTAAATAAACATTTATTATTATTACCAATGTTGAAAATAGCCGTGCTGATTACTATTTTTGTGTAAATCGTGATACAGGATTCTTTGATGAATAGGAAGTTCAAAAGTTCATTTATTTGAAATCTTTCGTAACAATGTAAATGTCTTTACTGTCACTTTTAATCAATTTAAGTCAACCTTGATGAATAAAAAAAGTTATCTTTCAAAATCTTACTGACCCCAAACTATATATATATCTGTATATCTGTTTGCAGGCCCTCTGTAGTACCTCTATGGACCCACAGGGGTCCATAGACGCCTACTAAAAGACGCCCTTGATGCGGACTAACACGGTTTTATTCTGGCTGGTGTGTCTAAAAACACACAGCAGGGGGAACCAATCAACTGCTGAAAAGCAACAGGAATGACTACAAGAATGTAAGAGGAAGGAAGCAGATGTTTTAGAGGAAGTGATGGAATTTTGTGAGAGACTTTACTTTGAAACCTAAAGATCTTGAATTGTGATTGTCTTTGGTGGGATTGACTGTTCAAAATTTGCACATATTTTGTATTTTCTTGCATCCATAGCTTGTATTTACAGCTAAACTCTCCATCAGCTAAATTAACTATGGCTTAACTATAACCTCCGTCAAGCGTGGCAGTTGATCTTACATGTGCCTGTGATCCATTGATCATTAGATAGTAGAGTTTACTGAGGATGCTCTGCTGTAGCTGGTCCCACGACACTGACCTGTCCTCTCTCATCAGAAATGGAGGACCGAATCTGCAGATAAACAGATATCAGTTTAGTGTGTTAATATGGATGATGTTGATGTTTTTTTTTTGTTTTTTTTGCATGCTTGTATATTGTTTTATGCATTATGTTTCAACGTTTATAAAGCACCTTGAGAGGTCCTTTTAAACGTCCTTTATAAAATAAACTGTATTATTATTTAAATATATGTGATACATGGGAGACCGGGGATAGTTGTCACACTTTTTACTTCAGTGAATCTTTTACGGGATAGGTTTATTTTTGACAGTCAAGTTTCTATATAGACATATAACATATTAAGATTTTGATGACAAAAAGCTATTGAACATTTCCATTATTGCCTAAGAAAAAAACTATACTGTTCATTGAACACATGTTGACCTAAAAATGTAAATAGAATTTAATATTATTTTAGTATCACTGAGATTCTATTATAGTTTTAATAATAGTAGTTTTTATTTTTATTTAATTTCAATTAAAGTTTTAGTAATTTAAATAAAGTTTTTGTCATTTTTATTCGTTTTTTTAATATGTCTGTACAGATTATTATTACATTTACATAAAACAGCTTTGCAATGTTAGCTTAAAAGTATTTAGATACATGTTATGGAACTCATGTTATTATCGACAAGGATTAAAAAACAACAATCAGTTTTAAATAATACGAAACAGGGGTCTTGCACAATCTCTCCTTCCACCATGGGGTTCTTGCCCTAAAAAGGTTAAAGATACACAACTGCAAATACCCTAGTCACTACCTGAAATCACATGAGATTCATATATAAACACTGGGTCACATTTTGATGTGCATGTTTGTCAGATAAATTACTGCCTGTGTTTGGACACTATGTTCCAGTGTCCTCAGCAGTGCCCTTGAAATCCACCCCACCCTTTTTAGTTTAGTGGGGTTTTTTTGCGGTAGGAGGCTAGTGATTAAGTTTCCAGATTTCTCCTACAGGACTTGTACAGCATGAATAAAGGAGACAAAACAAACAAAAGTGAGCTGAGGGAAAGCAAGCCTTTCAGAATGTGATAAACACGTAATTGTGTTGGGGTTTCGCCTCAGCCAAAAACAACGGTGGAGTTTTCCCTGACAGGAGGCAGAGAGAGAACAGAGATCTGAACAAACATGCTTTGATGCTGTTAACGTCACACATCTCGCCCCAGGCAAAAACACGGGCAGGTTTCACTAGATTATAAAGCAATAAAGTGTCTGTCCCTCCATCTATCTAACTATGCTTGACACCACAGTTTAAACGTATTCTGGACATCAAAAATAGATACAAATGATCATAAAACAAGCATTTGCAAACAATTTCACTTCAGTAAGGTGGTGAGGACTGTTTTGAGAGGTCAAATTCACCTTTGACAGCATCTTATTGCAATAGTCTCAAATAAATGGTCCTTTTTCAAATACATCAATATTTGCTATTAGTGCATTATGGTAATTGTTATTAAATGACTGCATTACATATAGGCAAGATTTTAATAGCCCCAAACAATGACTAAATAGCTATTTTGTTCTAGGTGAACATTATTTAACCCCTTTTGGCCTAAGTTAAGTCAGCTGGAAAGGAAAGTAGGATAGAAAGACATCACGTATTGATTAAAAATGACAAAGAGACATATTTTTTCGATATTCTTTGGAATAACATACACTGAAAAATCATGCACAATAAGACCAAAAATGTATTCAATCAATTTAATAGGGTAAATTTAGATTTTATGTTGACTTTAAAGATGGACATGCTGAAATTGCTACTATAAGCCTTCAACCAGCAACTAGCATCAAACAAAATCAATGTGGACACAACAGAGAAACGCTTTGCTGACTTTTCCACTATGTTTGATGTTGCACACTCTATACATCAAAATAATGTTTTCCTGCAATATATTACCTGCTCCTGTGATGATCTTAAAATGACAGTCGAAAACTCCATAGGGAACCTGATATTCTTTCTATAATCCATTTTTTTTAATGTGAACTCTGCAGTGCTTCCTGTCTATAACAAGTCCCCAACTGCTAATTGCATCGATTAGAAAATATAGTTTATCCATCTTAATAATACTTCCTAAAAAGTGTTATTTTAATATGATTTATATACTATTATAGCATTTATTAATATTTTGAATTAGTGTTCATTTTTATATTTTCAGTTTTTATTTTCATTTTAGTTTGAGTAATTATGTGCTTTTGTAATTTTTTGTAACGATTAAGAGTGAATGTGTGCATATTTTAAAATTAAAATATTATTTGCAAATAGTTCAAATGCATTACAATACATTGTAGTTATTTTACTATTTTTATTTATTTAATTTGAATGAATTTAATTAAGTTATTCCCTTAAATCTCCCCTAGTTAAAAATATATACAAAAATGTACTTTATATACCAATGTTTAAGATACGGTTACGGCCTTGTTATGACATCTGCCTAGTCTCATTGTAAGTTTCTATATTCAAACATTCCCAATTAATGAACTCATGACTACAGCTGTATGTCAGATCTAGTCCTTTCCACACTCACAGTGATAGGAATATCACTTTTATCAGTATCTGGAGAAAATCAATCAAACTATCACTGCCTTCAAAATGACAAAATGACTCTAGCTCATCTGTAAGAGACGAACGTATGTTCTGAGCCTTGCTCTCTCTCGTTCTCTCTATGACATCCTTTAAAGTGAGGGAGAAGCTCACATTACAAAAAGCCATGGAATGAAATTAGATTTCTGGAGGCATTCACACCTAAGAGAGTATTGATCTCTGAGCAATTGTCACTGTCACTGTGTGTCTGAAGGATCGCTCTGATGTGACAAATATCAAAGAATCTGTGAGAAGCTTTTAGAGCAAAAGTGAAAAGGTGAGGTAAAGTTGTCACGATTGATACCTGCCAGCTTTACGTGGCATAAAGAGGCATGTTTTTGTTCTCTGAAGTCCACTTTTAATGCTAGTTCAGATCATTTTCACCCTTTGTGACCCTTGAAATTAAACCTTTAAAATGTCTTTTTGTAAATAAACTTTGTTACAATTGGCTAATCTCCATATACTAGTGATAATCTAGTCATTTTTTTTCCTCCTGTTTTTTAAAGGAATTAACACTTTTATTCAGCAAGGATGCATTAAAATGATCAAAAGTGACAGTAAAGACATTAATAATCTTACAAAAATGTATATTTCAAATAAATGGTACTGTATAAACATAATATATTATTTTAGTTTATTGTATAATGTAATATAAATAAATAATTTATAATATATCTATATAAAATATATTTTTCAATATTTTTAACATTATGACGAGAAAAAAGAACAACGCAAGATATTGAACCATATGTGAATATGTTTATAAAGTAGAATATTGTAGAAAATTTTCAAATAATCCAGTCAGAGTTAATAATGCTGGCAATAGACATAGCTTGAATGCCAGTAAACTGAACTGTATACACAATATAAACATAATTTCACATCTGCACAAAATGACAAAAAAGTGAACTTGAACTAAGTTATGGCTTAGAATGAGTTGTGACTACGGTCTTTCTGTAACCACTTAAAGATGTACAAATAACAATGTTTCACAACATTGTATTCATATATGAGGATACGTGTTTAAATGAATAGATAAATTTTTGGTTTAATTTTGCAACTAAAATTAATTCTTGTCAACTAAAATGTTATTTCTTTTGACTAAAATTAGTTGCCATTTTAGTCTGAATAAACTTGACAAATATGAATGAATATGACATGGCAAAACATTGACAAAGTTTAAATGATTTTTTCTAGGGCTAACATTCATGCAAATTAATTTTTAACGGCACTAATTTTATTAATGCGCGATTAATGCAGTGTGCATTTTCTGTTTCAGGGTTCCCGCGAATCCTTAAAAAGTTTTAAGAGGTCTTAAATTTAATTGTATCATATTTAAGGCCATAAAAAGTCTTAAATGGTACAAGAAAGTCTTAATTATGATTTCAAGAGGTCTTCAATTTGGGGAGGGAAAGACAAGAATTGCAATATGGCTTAATGTGACGATTAAACTTTAAAAGGCGATGATTTCATTGAATAAATATGTGCACTGCACGTTTCAAAGTCCGCTGCTGTGCTGCTTTGTTTACAGTCTGAGAAACCTCTATATTTCTGCCTTTCCGAAAGTGCCATCTGCTGGCAGAGAATGAATTTGCATTTTCAATAAGTTCTGTTTTTGTTCAGACCAATGCGAACATCCATGTTTTTATGCAGCAAACACTAATTTGTAAATGTGAACTAGTAGATCGATAAGAAGATAATGCATTATAAAAATCTAAACAATTAAGCCAGTAAAATATAGTTATATGGTATTTAATTAATATAATAATTGTTTAAATTAATATAATAATTGATACTTTTGATTAAATTTCTTAAAAATGATTTTAAAAACGTTTAGTTTTTGTGAAAACCTGTATCTGAATTCTTTATGCTCTATGTTGAGTATGGTTTCACTAATAATAAACATACATTCGCATAAAGCATCCATATCAACCCATGTTGATTAGAGTATTAAAAACTTGAAAAGTATTAATTTAAGGTACATTTAGAACAGACAAAAATGTGTGATTAAGTTGCGATTAATCACGATTAAATTGTTTAATCGATTAACAGCCCTTATCTTTTCACCCAAAGACAAAAAACAGTCAAAAAATGCAGCATTTTTTTATGGTACCTCACTGCTTGCTGTCCTGCTCCGGCTGCATTACACACCAACAGCAAGATCTTCACCATCCCATCGGCCTGGTTCAGGAACTCCGAGGACAGTGCTCCGGACGCTGCCAGTCTGTGACCCTCCGGCCCAGACGAGGTGTATGGAGAGGACGGAAGACTGTGGTGGAACCCTGGGATGAGAGGGAGAACCAAGGAGAGGTAGAGGTCACCTCCTAAGACGCCTAATCTGTTGGCAGATTTATTGTCTGTGGCTCCATATAGCCGAATAATGTCAAATTTTATTGTATGACAAAACAAGGTGACATATGCACGGATAAAGAGAGGAAGAGAGTGACAGAGAGAGAGAGAGACAGATGGAGACATGCAAATAGTGCACAGCAGACAGCAGACTGAACAGAGTGGGGTGTATGATCTGACGCCAGCCTTCACACACATACACATACATACTAAATGGACGTCAAGCTTTCAGATGTTGTCTTCCAAATAAAGTTCGACTGCACAAGAAATTAAAGTTAGTGTAAAGCAATATTAAATATGTGTTCTGAGTTTGTCACACCACAGAAAAATGTGTTATTAACCACCCAGCCAAATTTGAATGATAAAAAAAATGCCAATTAAATCAAATAAGGTGTCAATCTTGAAAAAATAAGCAGTATTCTCAGCTCTCAAACGCTGGGGGCGTGTCCGCTGTCGGGGCTAAACCATGCCCACTCGTGGGAAAGCTGCTGTCTTTCTCAACTGCCAAATACCAATACAACCTGAACGGATGCTCCCTCTAGCAGCTTAATAAGGAGAACCAGCTGTTTTGTAAATTATCTCAACCACGTAATATACGTGATGAAGGCATCGCTAACTAGTAAACTGTAGGCTGTAGTAACCAACAGTAATTTTTCTTTTTTTTTAAGATTTATTTTTGGAGTTTTTGCCTTTTATTGATAGAATAGTAGTGAGACAGGAAGCGAAGTGGAAGAGAGAGGGGGGATGGGATCGGGAAAGGTCCGCGAGCCAGGACTCAAACATTGGACGCCCGAAGCGCAATGGCGCTACATGTCGACGCGCTGCCCATGAGGCTATCGGTGACGACTGTAACCAACAGTAACGACAGGAACTTGCAATTGAGCGGTGCTAATGTGCTCTAGGTATTAGGCGTGTTCAGCTTGAAGCAGCGCTGCGCAGACTGATCGGTGTATGACAACAAAGTACTGTGAAACCGATTCGAAAGCGTAAGGCGCGTCTGCTTTCTATAGCTCTCACTGTACTTTGATGTCACACACCGATCGGTCTGCACAGCGCTGCTTCAAGTCAAACACACCTCTTTATAGTGTTAGGGGAGAGGCCATGCTCAGTGGCTCCAGTGCGTCACCAACACATGATTTCAGGCCCGCTCAAAAAATCCTGAACACAAAAATGGTGAAAACCGGTTTAACGCCACAATTCAGGATTGCAAAGTTCACAGTCTTTGTAACGTGTTTCAGCAATACGTTTCTAACATTTCTAATGTGTTTAGAAATAATTCTCTGAATCGCCTTTTCACGGACTTTAAAGGTGCACTAAGTGATCCAAATGCTGTTGATATTTGAAAGTACCAAAACAAACACGCCCATACCGCGACAGGACCTCGCCCCTATTTTGATATCTCCGCCCCACACGTACGTACACAACCCTGGCATAACGACAATCACGGAAGCGAAGATGACACACAAGCATATTCAAACAAATGCCAACAAAATCAACGTTACTCACCTATCAAAAAGAAATGACGCAACCTCGGCATCTGATTCCAGGCCTTCCCACTCCTTGAGTTCTCTCCACCGCTGGAAAGCTGCTCCGATATTTAAGCGGGTCCTACCTTTTGCCTGATCGTAACCCTTCTTTTTAATGTTTTGTTCCTCCGATATTTTCCTCTTTATCCTCCAATTCTCTCTATCTATAGTCGATCTGATAATATCCGTCTGTGCACTCAAATTGAGCGCTCTCTTCTCTCTATCATTACAAGACACGCCCCCTTACTGCTGATTGGCTACGAGTGTGTTTTGGGACTCGGTCCGACACTGTGGTCAAAAAATTGCTTAGTGCACCTATAAGTACCTAGAGCAAACTAACCAAAACAAGCCAAAGGCTGGCATTTTTTTTTTTTTTTAATCACCCAGTTAAATTTATGAGGGACAGAATAGCCTCATATCTTCAAGGTGACATCATTAAAAGCATAAGTGTGTTATATCTGCACCTTGAACATCAACAAACAGAACTGGAACTTTGAAAGGGTTTTAAAGATGCTCCTCATTGGACAAACAAACTGTCCCGCCTCAGACTTTCTATAGCTCTCACTGTACTTTGATGTCACACACCGATCGGTCTGCACAGCGCTGCTTCAAGTCAAACACACCTCTTTATAGTGTTAGGGGAGAGGCCATGCTCAGTGGCTCCAGTGCGTCACCAACACATGATTTCAGGCCCGCTCAAAAAATCCTGAACACAAAAATGGTGAAAACCGGTTTAACGCCACAATTCAGGATTGCAAAGTTCACAGTCTTTGTAACGTGTTTCAGCAATACGTTTCTAACATTTCTAATGTGTTTAGAAATAATTCTCTGAATCGCCTTTTCACGGACTTTAAAGGTGCACTAAGTGATCCAAATGCTGTTGATATTTGAAAGTACCAAAACAAACACGCCCATACCGCGACAGGACCTCGCCCCTATTTTGATATCTCCGCCCCACACGTACGTACACAACCCTGGCATAACGACAATCACGGAAGCGAAGATGACACACAAGCATATTCAAACAAATGCCAACAAAATCAACGTTACTCACCTATCAAAAAGAAATGACGCAACCTCGGCATCTGATTCCAGGCCTTCCCACTCCTTGAGTTCTCTCCACCGCTGGAAAGCTGCTCCGATATTTAAGCGGGTCCTACCTTTTGCCTGATCGTAACCCTTCTTTTTAATGTTTTGTTCCTCCGATATTTTCCTCTTTATCCTCCAATTCTCTCTATCTATAGTCGATCTGATAATATCCGTCTGTGCACTCAAATTGAGCGCTCTCTTCTCTCTATCATTACAAGACACGCCCCCTTACTGCTGATTGGCTACGAGTGTGTTTTGGGACTCGGTCCGACACTGTGGTCAAAAAATTGCTTAGTGCACCTATAAGTACCTAGAGCAAACTAACCAAAACAAGCCAAAGGCTGGCTTTTTTTTTTTTTTTTAATCACCCAGTTAAATTTATGAGGGACAGAATAGCCTCATATCTTCAAGGTGACATCATTAAAAGCATAAGTGTGTTATATCTGCACCTTGAACATCAACAAACAGAACTGGAACTTTGAAAGGGTTTTAAAGATGCTCCTCATTGGACAAACAAACTGTCCCGCCTCAGACTCATGCAATTGGTTGAGCCAATGTTGTTGTGTCGGGCCAGTCTGGATGTGCAAAAAGAGGTATAATGACTATACTTCTCAGGAGAATTAACTTACTTAAAGTTTTCTTTGTAAATTGAGACTGTTTATTAACTGATTTTTTAATTCAGCATTTTACTGTTTTAATAATTTTAAAGCACTACAAAACCAAAACATCTACTAACAAAAAGTACCAAAAACTACCATGTATTTGTGTACCATAAAGTTGGACATGTACCATGTCAGTACCATGATACGCTATACACTGCTCTTCAAATGTCTGGGGTCATATTTTTTCTTTCTTTCTTTCTTTTTCTTGAAGGAAATTGATTAAAAAAAATATCACCGTTTCTACAGCAATATTAGGCAGCACAACTGTTTTCAATATTGATAGCAATGTTTTCTTCAGCAGCAAATCAGCATATTATAATGATTTCTGAAGGATCATGTGACACTGGAGTAATGATGCTGAAAATTCAGCTCTGCATCACAGAAATAAATTACATTTTTAAACGTTCAAATAGAAAACATTTACTTTAAATTGAAATAATATTTCACAATATTACTGTTTTTAATGCATTTTTGATCAAATAAATGCAGCCTTAGTGAGGACAAGAGACTTATAAAAAGAGACTTATCAAAAGCATAAAAAAATCTTACTCCAAATCAACTTCAAACTTTAAAAACAGTAGTGTTTATTTATAAATCAATGAATTAGAAGCATCAAACTGGCTGCAAAATAGCAAACAAACACATTAGTATCATACGCAGTGTTGGGCAAGTTACTCTGAAAATGTAATCAAATTACTGATTACTGATTACTCCTTTTAAAAGTAATCGTGTTACTGTTCTGCTTACTTCATTTCAAAAGTAATTAGTAACATTACTAGTTACGTTACTTTTTTCTCCATGAAATTTATGAAATCCCAGCATACACGCTCCCGATAAATATTTGTTATTAAAGCATCAACATTCACAGAACACTGTTATTTTTAACTAAAGTAAGCGGCTGCTGCGTGCATGGTTTGGCATGGCAGAATACCAGCAAAGAGCACCGCATTTATAATCTCTAAAAGACATCTCAGTTCATCGCAATCTCACAAATCTCTGTTATAACACAATGAATATATGCATAGTGAATCTTTCAGAAAGTCTACAATTCGTGTGTTATAATGAGAGGATTCGGGAGCACGCACATTTCAGCACTGCATCAACGCTGCAAACACGTGTTATAGCCTAAATAGAAACTCTGCATACGCTTGCACCTGTTAATCGTTTATATTTTATATTAAGTCATGTTGCTTTTGTGCAATAGATGAATAACAATTTATTTGTTTTAGATATTTTATGTTTAGATATTTCTATTTTGTGGGAGTCCCGTGAATCATTTTATTCTCCCGCATCCCGCACACACAAGAGTGTCTACCCACTCGCAGCAGCACTCGCCCATCTTGTCCCGCGCCGCGCTCTGTTGCGTCGGGTCTCGCGGGAGCAGGTGTCTAATCCACTGGCACTTGACTCGACAGTGCGTGTGCTACATCCTTTTTACAATCTCTAGATTATAAAACACTGCATTCTGTCAGCAATGTAACGTGGCAGTAACGTATAGAGACCTCGGCTTGTAACTATACTCTAATTACTATTTAGAAAATGATAACGCGTTAAATTACTCCGTTACTAAAAAAGTTATCAAATTACAGTAACGCGTTACTGCCCAACACTGATCATACGTCATGCAAGTGAGCAACGGGCCATTCATTGGTATAT